TATAAATCAAAATTTCCATTGGGGAAAATAGGGGCTGCCATCAGGCATTTTTCCATAACTACATCCTGGACATTTCAGCACATATATATACATATAGAAGATAATAGAAAGATTTTGGATTAGGCATCAGCCTTAAAATGACCCTATGGATTCTTATTTTTGTAATGTGCTTGCTTGAAATATGTGCCTGATTTAATTTTTATGAAGCCACTAAGCCATTGTAGCTGTTTTAATGATTTGGCTGGACCTGAAATTTAAAAATTGAGTTTTCCTGGTGGTATTCTTAACAGTATGTGAGGTGAACAAAGGGGAGAAATGGGTTTGAGAATATTCTTGATCTCATTAGCCAATCTACAATAAATGTTAGTTGAGAAGGTAATCTAAGTAAATATGAAGGTTATCAAAATTCTTGTTAGTCTTTCTTGTGTCATTTTAACTTTCAAAACAACTTCCAATTCTTTAAAACCCAAATGAGTTCTCCACTCTGAGCCGCTCTTTTCAAAATGTTGGTCTCCTCAGCTTTTTAACTGAAACATTCACCTCTCCACTGTGGGCATAAAACTCCATTTATCCATCTCCTCTATCAGTTTTCCTGTTGCAACCAAACCAGACCTTTCTTCCTATCAGTCCCTCAGCCCTGGATGGCCATGTATAACACAGGAGAATAAAAGAGCAAAACCTGTTAGATTTCTGCCTTAAAACATCCAGCACAACAAAAAACTCTTTCTCTGCATTTCTGCAAGTACTTATACTGCATAGTGATGCTCAAACCTGGCTATACATTAGAGTCATCTGGGGAACTTCTAAAACTATGGATGCTTGGATCCCTTCTACTAGTGATTTTGTTATTAAGTAGTCTATTGTAGGGCCTGGGAATTAAATATGTATTAAAACTCCTGTGTAATTCTATTGTGCACCAGAATTAAGAAATGTGCTCTGGGTCTTGTATGTTATAGCCATGCTTATGAAAATTACCTGTTTGAGGAGCTTCCAGAGAAGAGAACCTTCATCTTCATTTTGATTGACCCAAGGGGCTCTCTCCTGTTCACAGGGAAAAAAATCTCTATCTTTGTCTGAGACCCAACTCTTGATCTTTGTTTGTCATCTTGAAAAGCAAGGTTTTGTTACAGTAGGTAGCTAGTTGGGTGTGAGCAGGGCAGGAGAGGGCTCCCCTCTACACACAGCAGGAGGTGATGATCAGGCTGTTAACACTCTCTTTAAAGTACTATTTGGTCACAGCTGGTACCAGCGAACTGCAGTCTCCTAATAGATAGAAAACACCTGAAACTGGTGATAAGCAGCTTCTCAATAAGATCTCAGGAGTTTGGAGAAGTAATGCAAGATTCCAGAAGTATGCCAATGTATGAAAACCCCAAGTCTAAAGATCAAACTAGGCACTTGTCTTTCAAGTTGCTTGCTTGGCCTTCTTCCAAGTGCATGTTCCTTCCTTTCATTCTTGCTCTAAAGATTTTTCGTAAACTATCTCTCCTGCTCTACAACTTGCCTCAGTCTCTCCTTCTGCCTTCTGTCCCTCAAATTCTTTCTTCTGTGGAGGGTAGGGGGCAAGAATTGAGGTTGCTGTAGACCCGTACAAATCAGATTTGCCACTGCTAACACTTTGACTCCTCCTCTTAAAATGATTTTTTTTCTTTTCTGCTAGGCTCATTTTTAGACAGTTCCTATAGACTCAACCACAGATTCTATCACAATCCATGCCTACTAAATTCATCTCAGTACCTGCAGACACTGACTAGCACAATGGTCTCGGAACCATTGTTTCCTCTGAGTCACTTAGTTCATAAATGTTAGTAAGGATACATGAATTGGGAATGCTTTTCATCCCTCTTTCCTTTCAGTCTTAGCCATTAGGGTGTCAAAGTTTTTAATAGCCAGGTGAATGCCTAATAACTCTCTAAATGCTAGGCTGCTGATACATTTTGTTGGACTGAGAATCTTACTCCTAAGATTATGAGATCTTTATTATTTTGAATCTGAGTGTTTATTTAACATTAGATATTAGCAGAAAGCTTCCTCTTCTAGGGGCTGAGATGAAAAGGTAGGTAAAAGAAAAGGCATCTAGCTATAAGGGAAAGTCAGGGTATTCATTTTGAAACATAATGAAACATTCAGCACACTTGGACATGTAATCGATATTTCTATGAAAGAATGTAGAGGCATTGATAAAACAGAAAATAATCCTTTGAGTCCAAGATATGAGCCTTAAAATAAATTAGTCCTGAAAGAGACCTTAATAATATGATTCAGTGACTTTTTTTTTCAGTTGGACCCACTAAGATTTAGGGATCCCAGGACACTCCTCCTGGGACCTCTGGAGGAGGGGGCACCCAGGAGTAGCTAATGGGGTTCTAGATTCCTGGCCCTCTGTTTCAGTCAGAGTTATTCAAAGTTGAACTTTAAGATGTAAACATTGAGGTATCCTTTAAAAAGAATCTGGAAGACCTTCATTGAAGAGTGACAAGTTTAACTACCAAGAAAATTAGAAAACAAATCACTATGCAAGGAGCTGTAGAAAACCTTGAGGGACTTTGCAGCACATGGCACATATAGTTCAACATCTCAAAGGAAATGATTCTGCTTCAGTAAGGGGAGAACCACTTGTCAACTGATGTAAGGGAACAATAAAGCAGCAAGAAAGAAGGTGTCTTGGTTTGCCAAGTCGCCACTACTTTCTGATTGAAGAATCAAGGGGGACTTCTACCTAGATTAAATAATAAAAGAATTTGGTTTTTAGCTCTGTCATTACAAAGAAATCTTAGAGAACAAAACTTTACCTAGAAATATTTTCTTCTTGTAACTTATAGGAACTACAGCAACTTGTCTTTTACCCTTTCTCTACAATAAGAATAAGCCATGGCACATATAAGATATGAGCGTTCTAAGTGATGCTTGTGAGACATCGCCTATATCAGGGATCAGGCAACTTTTCCTTTAAAAAACCAGAGAGTAAGTATTTCAGCTTTGCAGGCTGCGTCTCTATAGCAACTTTACAGTAGAAGAGTGAACGTAGCCATTGACAATACATAAGAGATTGGGCATGGCAGAATTTGGCTCGTGGCCTGTAGTTTGTTGACCTCTAATGCACACAACAAAGCTGTTTTGTTCATTAAACTTTTCCATTTTATGCTCCAGTGAATACACAGCTGGCACCAATATTTTACAGAGGAACATGCCTCATACATCTATAAATTTCTGACTTGCTTACCATAAGCAAGCTTAGATATGCCAGGTACATGCTGCCTAAAACACACCATAAGTAAGGATTCACCATTAGTAAATACTACCAGGAAATCTACAAAAAAAATATATATAATATATATATATGTTTATATATATATTTATATTTTTTATATTTTTATATATATTTTTTTGCAGATTTCCTGGTAGTATTTTTTTTCTTTTTTTGAGATGGATTCTTACTCTGTCACCCACGCTGGAGTGCAGTGGTACGATCTGGGCTCACTGCAACCTCCACCTCCCAGGTTCACACCATTCTCTTGCCTCAGCCTCCCGAGTAGCTGGAAAAATATTTGACACATCACTTCTTTCTCTCCCTTCTCTGACCCTCCTCCTTTGCCATTCCTTCTTAATTTTTTTCCTCCCCATGTGGTCCCAGGGTCAGGGTGGATTAAAGATCAGCTAATAATTCTTTCCTATCTTACTACACTGTGAGCTCTGTAAAAACCAGAGTTTTATTTACTAAAAAAGTGATTCATCTGAAATATGTGTCAGTTCCATTCAAAAGATAACACTGTTTCTTCCAGAGTAGAAGGGATATAATGTAATCCACTTTCTAACAAGTAGCTGGTTGGCCTCCTTGAGGGATAGTGTCATATCCTGAGATCAGTATCAGATTTTGTTGTGGCCAGGCTGGACATTTGGCAGCTGCTAACTCATCCTTGATGACTGGGAGGCCATGCTGTTTGGCCTATAAGAACTTCATTTACACAACCAACATGTCAACACAGGAGTGGCTGATGGCAGAAGTTGGCTAATATCATTGAGCAAGTCAGTCTTCTGTCTACCTGGCTGTTTATTGCCTCTTCCATGGTGGTGTTAAATCTTATATAAGGGAAGAGTGCTTCACTTTTGATAAACTCTCCCTTATCTAACTTTATGTTCTGCCCTTGTTGATCTAGCAATCTCAAGATTCAATCCCATTTTATGCTTTCTTAGCTATTGTTGATACATGCTGCTTCGATCCTGCAACATTTTCAGATTATAGTCCCATTCCTACCTTAGCCAACCCAGTGATACCCTGGCTATCGTTGTGACTTAACCTTAGTTATTGGTTTGGTGGCAAGGAGATAAGGTGGAGATAGATCCTGAGGTTGGGAGAGGTGTGTCACATTTTCATTAAAGACAGAGGTCTCAGCATCTTTTTTAAGGAAGAGGGGGAAGAATGGTAGACTTTAAGGGAGAAGGTTGGGCCACTTCTGCAGTCTCAGAGGATTCAAGGGATTCTGTGGGTTCAAGGTATTTGAGTGCATTGATTAGACAGTCCTATATCAAGCCTCAGCGCCACATTGTTTCCAATCAGTGCCTTAATTTTGCCATAGCAAACTTGCTAGGGCTGAAAATTCAGCCTTCCTTAAGCACTGTTACCTTAATAGTTGATGCTAAACTTATCCAAGGGTTATCTATCCTTTGGCTGCAAGTGATAAAAGCTAATTTGTAGAATTCCCAGAAGACCCTCTGATTTTAACACTTTGTCTTAAATTGGTGATTAATCACCCTCAGGTTTTCTTTGTTTTTAATGATATGGCATCAGCAACAGCTGTTTAAATTCTAGTGTCCTTATGATTACCTCCGCTGAACCTCTCAAGCACTTGCATCATTGCACCTGCTAAATTCATTTCCTTACACAGGTATACAATCTGAGTTTAGCACTGGTGAAAATTTTAACTGAGTCATTACAGAATGTCAGAGAACATCAGACTTGACCTACTATCAATGATAAAGTCATTCTTGTCAGACTCACCAGGTAGGTGATCCAGCTTCAAAATGTTTCCTTGGTCTACTCTTGGCATCAACTGTTCTCATGTCTCCAGTATGGTTTCCCAGCTAAAAAATTGTGAGATGGAGAATTGTATGCAGTAAATAGATTGGACATGCCTTTGGCAACAATACCTGTGAGGGAGTGAAAGACTCAGGATTGAGAGAAATTGAAGAGCAATAGAATAATAATAAATCCTTAGCTGATCCCATGCATACAGTCTGGCACTGGAACAGCTGTTCTTAGTTTTCTCAGATTGTGGAAAGAGAGTCAAACCTTTGTACCCTTGCACCAATCAGTAGTCAGTGAGGGAGGGGATATAAGGGATATAACCTTAGGTTAGGCAGTTCTCTTTGAGGAAGGCTTTTGGTTGTGGGGGATTTCAACTGTGAGCCATCAGGAGGCAAAGTCTTAGCAGCTAAGAGGAACGAGTTATTTGATCCTGAATATGGAGGTAAGTTGTGAACCTCAACATCTAATTAAGTAATAGTGTAAACGAAAAGGAGGGTATATTTGAGATATAATTTGGGAATTATAAACAATAGAGTTCAGGCAATGGGCTTGAGGAATTAGGGAGAGGAAAGGGTATAATGTCATGCTAGACTTTCAACTTGGGTGGACTTGAAAATCCTAGAAAAAGGATTTATAATTAAAAAAGCCTGCAGAACAGGCTTTTCTCTAATGGTTTCCAGACCAAAATATTCCAAATAACTATGTCAAACATCTGGTTGGTAGGGTGCTTTCAAGATTTTCCAACTCTTCTCTGTCACCGCTAAATTGCCACTTCATTGTTTTGCCCTTTTATTCTGTTACTTGACACCAATTCCTATCCAACCCCCAAAATCCAAAGCCATGCAAATCATGACTATGCTTTCTAGCTTCCTCTCGCACATAGTCACTCACCAATTCCTGCTGATTCTACTTTGTACATCTTAAACCTAAGCTGTCTTCCCCAACTCTGTCTCCACATCATTGCAGACTCTTCATTTCTGACTGAGATTATTTCAAATTTTTTTTGGTCCCAATCTTCTTTCCTCCAATTCATTTTCCATTCTTCTAGTGATTTTTTTCAACTAAAAATATTATGCCATTCTCCTTGCTTAAAATTCTTTGACAGGTTCCCATTACCTAAACAAAACATCCAAACTTCCTGGCATTGCATGCAGGACTCTTTATCATCTCACCCCTGACTGCCTTTCCCTAACGATTTTCCACTCAGCTCCAATAACAATCTACACATTGGATTTGAATGTGATGACTTGAAACACGTTTGTACTGAGGTATGTCTGAGTTCTGCCAGGAGTTTTTAAAGATAATTAATTGTCTTCATTTGTCTACAAGAAAATTCGCCCTTGAAATAAACATGAAAAGTACACAGATCATTTGTATCCTACAGTCAATGAGTTTCTGAAATAATCAGAATTGTATTCTAGGAGCAAGAGATGAAACATAGCACAATGACTGCAAACCTACCGATCTCTTGGAATTTAATTTTGTGAACTTGATTTTATAGACAAGAAAGCAAAAACCTTTCAAGTCATCTTTATACAAGAAAATAGACTTCACTTCTGCAGTAAAAAAAAAAAAAAAAAAAAAGACAGTGGGGAGGAGTAGGAAGATATGTTTGAAGCATCTTTCCAGTCCTCTTTAGGGTCTAGATGAATTTTGAAATTCAAAATATCTCCTTTTGAATATTATTTCCTCTTGTGGAATGTGCTTTGCCTCTTAAATTCATAAAATAATGTAAAAAAGTAAGCCTGTCACATGTACAGGCCGGATAGGCTGCAGAATATTGGAAGTCTGTAATCATTTTTCATTGCTAAAATTTACATTAAAAATCTTGTTAGATAATATTAGCAATATTTCAGTACAGAATCTTAGAGAAAGTTACTTATGAGTCTTTGAATTTATTTTCATGGATCTATACATAAATATTCCTCAATGGATTGCTACCTGACCACTTCTGCTTATCCAAATATAGTTGGGCCATAGGACAGGAGAATTTGAACATCAAAATGTACTCTTTATTCAATTCTGGGCACATATTTACAATCTTTGAAGCATTTTTATAAAATTCTAGTTATTTTAAGTGGTGGGATATTAACATACACTGAAAGCTACTTGATGGGAGACTGTAGGTTCCTTTCACTATATCCTTCACAGACAATATTACATTGCCTTGAGCATAGTAGATGTTCAATAAATAACAAATTCTTATAATTTATATCTATAAGATATAATTAAACTTGAATCTTTTAGATTCAAGCTTCACATTGTTCTGTAGGAGATATTTGACATTTGGATCAGCTGCAAAGCTGACCCTTCTATTAATGCATTGCTGTTCTTATCTGTGTGGATGCACAGAAAATATAACATATTTGGTATCTTTACAATTTCCCCTTAAAGTCAAAATTAGAATTCACTGTGTTGCCAAAAAATTCTTCCTTTAAAAAATACAGTATTTCTACTTTATTGATAACTTGACAGGCTGCATGAAATCAAAGAAATAGAACTATGCAATGGTATTTGAAGTAGCCCACTCAAGGAAAATTTCTATTCAAACAAGCACCCAGATTACCTAAGTAAGGATACTGAAATAGTGCATACACTTACATAACAAACCACAGATGATGATAATTGAGGACCAGTGGTTCAGGAGAATGTGACCATTCTGTGCCTGTAGATATATCCAAGGTGCTGATTAGGCTTCATGAAAGACAGCAGTTCTCCTTGAATCTTTCCTTTAACCTTAATTATGCTCCTTCAACTTGCATTTTCACTGTATTTGACTAGACAATGACAATCTAAGCACATTTTCACAAAATGTGCAATTTCCATAGAAATTGAAAGTGCACTTGTAAATTTAAAGTTCAGCTTCTTGCTGATCATTTGATACTCCATTTCCCACACAGACTTAAAGTGTCCCACTTGCTTGTGGGGCTGGGAATGACTATACTGAGACCAAAATCCCTCTTATAATAAGAAAGGACTCAGTTACTTGGAAAAATACCATTAAAACCTTTACTTCTGTGTGTGCTTTTTATAAAATGACCTCTATGAAATTGAGTTTTTCTTAAGTTTTATGCTCTGTACTTTGAAAGACCGTGTGTAATTATTTAAGAGTAAATTAAAACATGACAGAATTTTTAAAAGAACATAGCTTATTAAGGTCATGTATTAAAAATAGCATTTCAGATAACTTAGACATTCACACTGAATTCTCTAGAACAGGTTGCATAAGAGAAAAGGTCTAAATTCTCTGGATTTTCTTATAAATTATTTTGCTTATAAACCTAGTCATTCTTTTGCCATAATATGACCACCTGATCTTCTCATCTTATTAGAACATATCCAGTATAGATTTAGAAACACCCATTTTTAGAATAGACTTAGAAATATCTGTTAATGTAAGAAATGTATACTTTTACTCTGCAAATCTAACACATTAACTGTCACTGGCTATAAAACCTGAAATACAGTTATCTTAGAAAATATACTGTAACTTTCCACATAAAACAGATTATTCCAGCAAAGTGTCCAAAGGTCCTTGGTTCCATCTGAGACAATTCTTTAATATATTTCTAAGAAGAGCATTAATTACTCAATAGGTATTTAAGCATTTATTCTAAACTGAGGACCATTCATAGAAGTGGATAAGACAGACATGGAGTTCACATTTAATTGAAGATGGTGACTAGGTGGAAAAAGATGATAAACACGACCCTTGTAGGTTGAGACATTATATAAACTAAAACAAGATAGTGTGTTAGAGTAAAAAAGATGTTCGTCTTCAATTGCTGCCCAGCCAACCAACCCACACTTAGTGAGTTAAAACAACCACAATCATTTATTTTACTCACTAATTGCAATGTGGTCAGGACTTGACTGGGACATCACAGTCCCACTCTAAATGATGTCAGTTGAGATACCTTTACTTGCATGGATTGCAGTTTGTTACTGACTGTTGGCAGTTCCTCTCCATGTGAGCCTCTTCACAGCATTGCTTTGGCTTCCTCATTGCATGGCAGCTGGGTCTAGGAGCACGTGTTCCAAGAGCTAAGGTGGGGAATCCACCAGTCTCTGATAGCCAGAGGCAGTAACCTAGAAAGGCATTGAATAAGCAGTTTCAACTGGCTAAGTGGTTGGAAGTCTACCAAGATTCAAGGGAAGGGGTTAGACCCACCTCTTGATGGGAAGAATGGCAAATAATTTAAGTTAATCTTTAGTTTATCACAGACAGTAACTGAAGGAAGTGGTCAGAAGAGAATTCTTTGAGAAGTTGACATTTCAGCTGAGATCTGAGGAGGAAAATGAAGCCTGAGGATAAAACTCATTAAACATTCATTCAGTAATAATTACTGAATCCCTCTCACTCACAAGGCACTTTAAAACCTATTAGGTATACACATGTAAATACAATTTTGTATTTCTCCTGGCATGTTTATATTAAAATGACAAAGTAAAACATACGTAAAAGTAACGATAAGGCAATGTGGTAAGTGTGCCAAAGTGTAAGTATAAAGGTGTGAGATTATAGAGAAAGGAATTTTAAATCTGCTTAGAGAAGTCAGAGATGGCTTCTCAGAGGAGGTAAATTCTGAGTTATAGTTTGAAAGATAAATTTATCAGCTAGAGAAGATAAAGAGAATATCAATTTTGGGAAGGGATGAGTATTTTCAGAGATTAAGTAGGCACGGGGGAAAATGGAAACTGTAAACTACCATGGCTTGGTTAGAGGCTCAGTTATGAAGCATGTCTGCAGCTGAGGCTGAAATGGAGCCTGCGGCTAGATCATAAAGGAACCTCAATATGTAGAGTGTAGTGTGCCGGCTAAAGATTTAGGATTTTATCCTGCAGGTTAATGAAGAGCCATAGGAGTTTCAAGTTCTAGTTTTACTTTGTCATTTGGACTCAATATAGCAAATATAATTATATCTAAGAATTTAAAATGTCTGATTTTCTTTTATTTTTATGTTGAGTTCTCAGTTGCAACCACCACCCCTGGAACCAAAATATATGAGTTAGAATTCTGGCACCATGACTTTCTTGGTGTGACCTTGGACAAGTCACCTAATTTCTCTGTCTCAATTTCCTCCTCTGTAGGACAGGAACAATGATAGTCCCTTTTCTTGTTGATTTATTGTGAGAATTTAAGGAAATCATTGTATGTAAAGTGTTTAGGTAGAACAGCACTTGGCTTGCAGTAAACATTTAGTGCTCATATTACACTGGTAGTTTCCTTTTGTGATATGGTGCTGCACCCACCTCCTTACACCCTCCTTGAAGTTAAGGCAAAGTCTGCTGGAGGACCTATACCACTGAAATGGTCGCCCCATGCTTCTGGGATTAAAAATTACCATTGTAAAGAGTCAATTATAAATACAAATTAGAACATTTATCTATCTCTACCACATTTAACATAAACAAAGATGCTGTTTTGCCCTTTAGTAAACCTTCCGGGATGAATTACATTTTTCCAAACACCAACTCAATTTAAGCACAGCTGGTGAAATCGACAAAGAAGTAGCCAAAAAAGTCTTGTTTTTCTTTCCTTTACCTGCCCTCTTAATACTTCTTCCTCAACCCAAGTCACCTCCTACCCCTTTCTCCTGTTTCTCTGCCCCACTGCCAAGACTCCTTCCTTCTACCCCTTTCTCATGTGCATTTTCTTTCTTAGACCTAGTTCAAGAAAATCTATTAATATCTTCAAATTAAAAAAGATGCCCACTGGTCCTATAGTCAGTTTGTAATTGATAGCAACTATTTTAACTCGAAGCTAAACTCTCTGTTGCCAAGTGACACTTTTAATGTGAAGAAATCCTCATATGAAAGAGAACTTTCTTATAAAAGAACCAACTTTAAAAAATGAAAAGACATTAAAAATCCATTTCAACCCAACCATTTCAAGTAAATGCTGACCACTAGGCTGAATTTGTGGCTAGTTTGCTGGTCATGGTTTGTGACCAGAAAAGGCTCTAAAAGAATCCATGATCTTTCCTTACTAATAGCCTCCAGTGCACATTTGTGCTGAAATGGGTAGTACACTTGCCAGAGGTGATATTCCAGGGCTGCGTCGTGCATCAGAGCTTCTCTTTTGAGGGCAGTGGCTTTTTGTTTCTCCTTGTGTTTGTATGTGTGTGTGCACGCATGTGGTTCTCAATCTCCAAGAGCCCATTGCCCTCTGACACATGCAGCGGCTGATTGGGATGGTTAGCTAGTAGTGGCTGCTTTATAGAATATAGAATGTGTAGCAGCCAGCAGGAGTCAGATGATAAGAGAAAAAGGCATCAAAAGCCAGTGCCATTCCATATGGAGATTGAAATGCTGCATTTCACCTCACGTTTTGAAACTAGAGGCTCTATATAATGTTTTTATAGTTGTATAACACTAATTGAATGCCAACTGTAAAGTAGGCTCTAAATGGAATATTAAGTGACAGTCTCTTCCTAGTGGGTTGGCAACTTAAATAAGGCAAATTGCAAGGGGAATAGCTCACATGGATAGAAGGTAGTATTAACTGATTCCTCTTTTTCACTGAGTCCTTACACTTTTCCGACTGTCTTTTTTCCACCCTCCATCAGTCACCTCCATGATGTGTACATGCACTCCAACCTCACTCCTTGTACATTGCATAGTGAACAAGTGCTTGAGAAGACAGTGGCACTCTTCAAGATGGCTGGGTCTTGAAGTGCTGACATCAACTCTCTAGGGAACACATTCTGTATTGATAAATGTCAAATCCCAAAGAACAAATTTAACTTCAGGCAAGTCCAAATTTGACTTTCCCAGACAGTGGCACAGCACCAAACATCACCAAAGAGTGTGCAGATGGAGCCTAATTATGATAGTATAGGTGTTTAATAATACTGGAAAGATTTAAAGGTACTATATTTTAGTCATTTTGAAAATTTGTGTTGTTTTTAGTTAAATATCCGTTCGTGTTTGATTTGTTTGAATTTGAGATGTTTGTTCAAGCAGAAATGGCACATTTATTTAATGCAAAGCAAACTGACGTCATATTTATTATTTAGATCAATAAAAGGACACCCGATATACACTCTGCCAAAGGGCACAAGTACAAATCTTAAAACACTGGAGTCAGCAGCATTACAAAAATCCTATTTCAAAACCAATTCCCTCAAAATAGCCCCCTCTCAAAGATCACCAGTTTGGAAAGTTATATGCTAGGCTTTACAGGTCACTTGACCTGTACCAAATTAAAAGGGAATTCCATAAGCAAATGAAAAGGTGAGACATAAACTAGGGGTGGTTATTTGGATACGAATATGTAATACTTTCCAGGAATGAGGGAACTAGGTTGTATCTTGAAACACAGCTTTCAAAACTGTTATCTTTACAACTAATGGGTTTTCCAAGCTTGTCTGTAAATCCCTGGTAGTGGTTATGGTGGTAGGTATGGGAACTCGCAAGTTATGCTGAATTAGCTTAATAAATGTCTAATACATCAAATTAGACCTCTTTTGAGGCATGAAAAATTAACACAGAAAGCATTACATCTGAAACAAAGAAACCAAAAAGTAGCCAACCCTGAAAAAAGGGAGCAGAAGATGGTAGGGACTCCCTGTTCTTGTGTGTGGGGTTCTTACAGGCATGTTAAATTATGATCACAGGTTTTTCTTTACTGCACTTCAGGCATATGCCACGTGTAGGAGTTATGATCAAGGGCCATGTAGGTGAATTTTTCCACCCCTTGTGTTTTCAGTTCCATGCCCCTCTTAAGTCACTCACTTCCTTGACCATTCTGTAGCATTTTTTTTTCCTGACTTGAAATAGAATTCCACAGTGCCATTTCTTTACCAATAACTGCTTCATCCTTAAAACTATATGTTCACATTTCTCTCTTTCAACTTGTTCACCCCTTTATTCCTTTTGGAAGTGTCTCAGCCTCAAGACCTCTTTTCCTTGACTCTTGCTTGGGCTTCCTTTCTCCTACCTGTCTGCAAAGTTACTCATTCCCTGTGGATTTTCCCTCAGCACCTTAAACATGCCTAAGCTTGCTTATCTCATAGAAGAAAAAAATCCTGTCAATATTATGCACGTCCCCGGGTGTTACATTTACCACCCTTCCTACACCAGTATCTTGGAAGAGTTGCCTACATGTAATATTTCTACCTTCTTCCCTCTTTCAACCATTTCCGTGCTCCACTGGAATTGTTCTCTGGCCACAGTCATTGACATTTTTTAGTGACTAAGAGGCATTAATCTGAAGGTTTTCTACCTTGTGCTGATAGCTCTGCTCTTCTATTTGATGTGGTCTGCATATTGGCATCATCAGCATCTGTGGAAGTAATAAGTAGCCCTATTAAAAGAACCAACTACAAACACTAGGGCCTCTGGAAGGGTCTCCTGACTCTCTCCTGGACAGGCGACCCTCCCTGGACAGCACATTCTGTTCACCTGCCCATGCTTCAGACCAGCTCCTCTCTACTGCTCTGCTGGGTCTGCATAGGTCACAAACTTCATTTTAACCATCATGGTATTTTATTTTTTATTACCTATTGAGACAGGGACTCACTCTGTCACCCAGGCTGGAGCGCAGTGGTGCAAACTTGGCTCACTGCAACTTCTGCCCCTTGGGCTCAAGTGATCCTACCCCATCAGCCTCCTGAGTAGCTGGGACTACAGGTGTATACCACCATGCCCAGCTTATTTTTATAATTTTTGGAGACCAGGTTTTGCCAAATTGCCCACGCTGGTCTCAAATTCCTGAGCTCAAGCAATATACCTGCTTCAGCCTCCCAAAATGTTAGGATTACGAGAGTGAGCCACCATGCCCGGCCAATAGCATTTATATACCTTCATCCACCTCAATTTTCTCCTGCCTTAACTTTCATTGATATATTTTAGTTTGGTTTGGTTTTGCTTCATTCTTCCTTGGTTGCATCTCTTTATCAGGATAACTTCTAAATATAATGTGTAAAGAAAAATTTGCATATTATAAAAAATTAATCTTGATAAATACTAAAATTGTCAATGAAACACATGTGTCAAGATGTTCACACTGTAAGAAGCTTAGAGGAATTGAAACCTACTGAGAGAATAACATATTCATGTCTCTCACTCATGCCCCATTGAGACTAAGTCTACTTAGTAGAATCAATCACTATTTATTGTCCCTCCCTACCATTTTCTTCCTTTTTTTACTATGTAAATGGAATTTTTATTTGATAATTGGATTGATTTCAAACTTAGAGAAGTTGCAATTGTAGTATTTTTTTTTCTGAATGACACGAGAGTAAATTTCTCACATGATACTTCATTATCCTCATACTT